GCCTATCTGCTTGTCAGGTCTATATAAAAGTTTTCTAGTAACATGCTCAAGAAAGCTGAAAAGAAAGTCTGCAGATAGGTGTCTTTACAGGGAAGAAGGGTGGGGAGTGCAAAAATGGAGTGGCCTTCACAAGTGGAAAGGTTTTGATTCCTAAATTTGTAGTGGTCCTTCTTTAGTCTCAAACGAGCACACAAGTCATTGCTTGAACCTAATTTCTGCATCTGATCTGTAGTTTGCATATTCTTTGGCAGCCCAAGCACTTGCAAGTATCACTGGAGAGTAGAAAAAAGCTTGTAGAACAAGTTTTAGGAGATTTATTTTATGGCAATAATAACCAAAGGCTTACTATTTAAAAGCTGCTCTGTTGGAAACTTGGTATTTTTTGAATAATGGAGTCTAGGTAGCAGCTCTAATACTGACTTAAACAATGGCTTTTTACTGACTAGTAGGATTTGGAAATGACACGTCAAAGAATGTCCTTGATTTGGGGCAGTTCATCTTGCTAGATGGTTCTTCATGAAGGTATGATCTCTAAATGTTGATGCTTTTCAGTGAAAAACCTCTTAAAAAAAAGAGGCAGAGGGAGAAGCAGTGAGTTAGGAGGAGTGGGTCTTTGCTTGTAGTTTGGGGAGTGCTTCATGGTAGTTCATGAAGGCTGGTATCTTCATAACTACACAGTTGTGTGACTCTTGGTTTCCGCTGCAATGCCAGTCTACAGGAGAATAAATGCAGCATTTGAAATACGTTCTACTCCTATTGTTTTGTTATCCGAAGACTGTGTATGTGATTTCACTGTCAAATATGAGGTTTGTTGGTAGTAAAACTAATGTCTTCCATGGATCTCAACAGCAGTTGAGCCCACAGGTTTTTCCTGCAGTACCAAGTTTAGGTTGGATGATGCTGCAGAGCTGGCATACCTTTCTGGATCTGGGTATAGTTTTGCACAAAACATAGGCAGAACAGAAAAGGTTTATGTTCCCTTCTTGATCCACAACATGCTGAGGGATGAAATTCTCTCAGTACCAGTGGGCTTTGCACCTGGCGTCATGAACCAGATGCCAAACTCAATGAGATGCCTGGAAAGTCTGGAAAGGGAAGGGAGGTGTTAGCCAGTGTCCTCCAGAGGGATCCAGGGCCTTGAAATGAAGTCTCTCCCTTTCTCCCTAAGCAATTAAACCTCAAGATCAGTTGCACGCTAGATCTCATCTTCTCAGTCAGGTGTTTTCAGTGGTAGTGTGTGCAACTCCAGTGATAGATGAACTACTTGGAACTGGTAGTTGTGAGCTGGGTTGCGTGGATCATTGTAGCCTCTCTCTCTGTACTGACCTTTTGTGCCAGGAAGATGGAGGATGGCTTTTAGTACATAAGCCCTAACCTCCACCAACATCTGTGTTTGGCGCAGCCCAGACATCTGATACCCGAGTCGTGATACCTGCTATTGCCAAGCAAACTGCATTTAGGGATTCTCTTTTTGAGGCATTTACTGGGAGAGGCCATTGTATTTGTTATGGGGCTTGTACTACTGAAAGAGCTTGGAGCATTTTATCCTGGATTTTTATGGAGTGTATCAGGTAAGTGAACCGTCAGGATGAAATATCTGAAAGAGGAGACCAAGTGACATTAATGAAATAAGTATTGATTAGAGATGTCAGATCTAGGGGAGTTTCTACAGATGGGACTCTGCTAGAGTGTAGGGTAAATAGGTTCTCAAGACAAAAACCCTTTGCCCTTTCAGCATCGCAGTACTTTCTTGAAGTAGATACTTCTATAATCATGTTTATATAAATTAAACAGTGAGAACTACCAGACATGAAAATCATGACACAACTGTATGAATGCAGAAAATTCAGAGGGAAGGATAATGTTCCCTTACTCCTTGACTTCCCTCTTGGTGACCAACTTGTTATTTATAAGAAAGTATGTTCATTTAACGGTCCTTAAGGAGCAGAAATAGTCAACTGCATTGCTGTCCGTAGGCTGTTTTTTGAATATTAATTTTTTTGGAAGGCTTAAAAGATACGGAATTAATATTCTGTTCTTGAACTTCAGTATAATTCTGTGGTCTAAAATGAAGAATTTCTGGGAGCTACAGTTTTTTTGAAGCGCTGTTGGATTATATCAGAAACACTAACAGAATTATGGCAGCTGCTCTTCCAGGGAAGAGCATGTAATTACATGCTTTCTATCCTGTCAGGAGAATATTTCTCCAAATCGTTATCGAGAGCATCAGGTTGAAATAACTTTGCATTATGGGCTCACCCTCTCGATTTCAAAACCAATGTTGCAGCACCATTTCTGAAAACCAGAAATGGCCAGCTGCCTTGATTGTATCATAGGATTTGGGGTATTTGACACCTATAGCGACAGGAGACTCTCAGCTTTTTTTACTTTCTATTTTTCAAAACAATTTTAAAAAGGAGCTTTCAGATGTTTGGGTTTTTAATCCTGCCATTGCTGTCTACAAGACAGCTGGTTATACATGAGTTAAGAAGTGCGTGTCCCACCACACAGGTCTCAGGTGTGAGTCTCAGGAGAGCAAATACGGTGTGCAATAAACAGTGCTGTGAGCAGACTGCCCCACACCTTCAGTGTAATAATAAGGTGTTTCAAAGACTGACCAGAGGATACCAATATGGAAGCTGTGGTACAGGATTTGCTGTACAGAACCAGAGTGCTCTCAGAGGTTGGGCTGACGTCTTCAGAGGGTTTGCATTGTCCTTGTCTTTAAGCAATGAAAAAGATTCTTGTCTGGGGAACATGTCCGTGGCTAGAAATTGAGATGTTCTCGCATGCAATTTGCATCCAAATCATTTCAGTTCTGCACAGGTTTCTGATGCAGGCCGTGACGTCTGTGGGGCCACAGGGTCAAAGGCCTGAATGCGCAAATGAGGTGATGAACTGAAACCATTCGCTTAGAACAACCTGGGCTTTGTGTCCAGGAATACAAGGCGAAGCCAACGTGTGCAAGCTAGATAACTGCGTGGCTGCGAAGCTGGGCTGACACTGATCTTGGCAGCTTCTTTGGAGTTACTTTTACGTAAGGATGAGTTCTTGAATAGCTTTTCTGGTACGTTAGGCACAGCAAGCTTTTCTTCATCGCTGACACTGGCTTCCATGTATTTTCACGTTTCAGGAATGCACTGGCAGCACTGTAGCCATTGTAAGGAAAATCTGCGTATATATACTCTGCTATGTCCGTTCTACTGTGTTCCAGGGTGCCTGGTAAAAGACTGCCAAAACTTATGTTATTTCATACCAGACAAAATCTTTAAGTATGGTATTTAGCAACATACAGCAAAATTTTCAGTGTTTTGGCACTCTGATTGCTTTCCTAATCTTGGCATGCCGAAAGGTAAAGAACACGACTTGCTACAACAATAACTGCTTTATTTTATAGGCCCTCTAAGCATTTTAACATACCGAATCGTCTCCTGTGAAGTATGTGGACATCACATAGAAAATAAACGGGCCAGGGCTTTGCACTGCCTTAAGGAGACCTGCCTTTGCATTCCCATTGCTCGCTGCCTTTTCTGGGGTAAGAGGAGAGGAAGGCCGCACTGCGCAGCGTTACCTACCCCTTGGCTGGATGGATGGTATGGACACCTGCAGAGGGGACGGCTCTATCTTATGCCTTGGCTGGAAGTACATTGAGCATGACCTAACCCTTGTGGATAGCAGCTAAACTGAGGAACAATTAATGGATACCTAGGGCTTTCAGTGAAAGGGGATGAGGTGTTACAGCCTCAAGACAAAGGAAGAAAAGGAACGCTGGCGTGTTTTATTTGACACAAATAAGGGAAAAGCCAACCTGTGGCTTAATTTCCATTTGTTAGGTAACAGTATAGCTTGAAATGAGCCCATTTCTAGGTTACTGGAAATTAAACGGAGTGTTGTCAGGCAAACAAATGATGTAGCTGCAAGGTAGCATATAAATTCTGGATAATCGCAAGTGCATAAGCCCGTGCTGGAGAGCCAGAGCTAATAAACACTAGTGAGGGAACAGAAACGAACCTCAGCACAGTCACTCCAGCGGCCAAGTATTCATGGACAGTGTCACATGTCAAGCAGAGGTGGGAAGAATGTGTATTTATTGAGTAATATGAAATGTTGATAGGGTTGTGAACTGAAACCTCTCATTAGCAGCACAGAGACATGCACTCATGGTGCAGTAAGCCTGCATCCAGCCTGAAACTCCGACCAAGAAAAGGTAGGCTGAAGGTTCGTCAGTTAGATTTTCTCTAATGCTTCCCCTAAAAAACAAGTTGGTGTTTCAAGCAGAAGGATCTAGGCTCTTTCGCCCCAATTTGCAGTAGTAATTAGCCACGCTGACTGCTGCCCTACCCTAGGGCACCTGAACTGCATGGGTACTGCATTTCTGCTTATCCAACGTAGCGTGCTGCTTTTGGGCATGTCCACAGCTGCCTCGGTTTTTGTGAGTGATGGACAACTAACTCTTGACTTATCTTAAGCTGATTCAGATGCAAACATGGCTGACAAAGTGATTAGCGCATTGAAGTGAGAGGAGGGTTTGCATATGTATTTCATGGTCTATTTATTTTATCCGTCAACTGTTTCCATTGCACCCAGTCTCGGGCAGCCCGTAGCTCAGCAGTCATACCCTCTGCCAAGGCAGGGAGGGAGGCAGCAAGCAAAGCGGGGAGCCGAAACACAAAGCTGTTGCATGTGTGCAGCAAATAACCTGTGAAATAAAGGAAGGATTCTTAGGTTTGGTGCAAATCCCATCGTATGCCAAATGCACTAAGAACTACACTCCTCATTACAACCCTCTCTGCACAGCAACGCTTCACTTGTTTAGGGTATCAGGTCCCCTTGATTCAGATACTCTCTGACCTGGAACACATTGATCGTATTACAGAGACATGCTTCTTCCCTGTTCCCTGGGATACGAATCATAGAATCATAGAATCATTGAGGTTGGAAAAGACCTCTAAGATTATCGAGTCCAACCGTCAACCCAACACCACCATGCCCACTAAACCATGTCCCTAAGTGCCTCATCTACTCGTCTTTTAAATACCTCCAGGGATGGGGACTCAACCCCTCCCCTGGGCAGCCTGTTCCAATGTTTCACCACTCTTTCAGTAAAGAAATTTTTCCTCATGTCCAATCTAAACCTCCCCTGCCACAACTTGAGGCCATTTCCTCTCGTCCTATCGCTTGTTACTTGGGAGAAGAGACCGACACCCACCTCGCTACAACCTCCTTGCAGGTAGTTGTAGAGAGCGACGAGGTCTCCCCTCAGCCTCCTTTTCTCCAGGCTAAACAACCCCAGTTCCCTCAGCCGCTCCTCATAAGACTTGTTCTCCAGACCCCTCACCAGCCTCGTTGCCCTTCTCTGGACACGCTCCAGCACCTCAACGTCCTTCTTGTAGTGAGGGGCCCAAAACTGAACACAGTATTCGAGGTGCGGCCTCACCAGTGCCGAGTACAGGGGCACAATCACTTCCCTACTCCTGCTGGCCACACTATTTCTGATACAGGCCAGGATGCCATTGGCCTTCTTGGCCACCTGGGCACACTGCTGGCTCATATTGAGCTGGCTGTCGACCAACACCCCCAGGTCCTTTTCCGCTGGGCAGCTTTCTAGCCACTCTTCCCCAAGCCTGTAGCGCTGCATGGGGTTGTTGTGGCCGAAGTGCAGGACCCGGCACTTGGCCTTGTTGAACCTCATACAGTTGGCCTCGGCCCATCAATCCAGCCTGTCCAGGTCCCTCTGCAGAGCCTTCCTACCCTCGAGCAGATCAACACTCCCGCCCAACTTGGTGTCGTCTGCAAACTTACTGAGGGTGCACTCGATCCCCTCATCCAGATCATGGATAAAGATATTGAACAAGACTGGCCCCAAAACTGAGCCCTGGGGAACACCGCTCGTGACCGGCTGCCAACTGGATGTAACTCCATTCACCACAACTCTCTGGGCCCGGCCGTCCAGCCAGTTTTTGACCCAGCGCAGAGTACACCTGTCTAAGCCATGAGCCGCCAGCTTCTCTAGGAGAATGCTGTGGGAGACGGTGTCAAAGGCCTTACTGAAGTCCAGGTAGACCACATCCACAGCCTTTCCCTCATCCACTAGGCGGGTCACCTGGTCATAGAAGGAGATCAGGTTGGTCAAGCAGGACCTGCCTTTCATGAATCCGTGCTGGCTGGGCCTGATCCCCTGGTTGTCCCGCTCATGCCTTGTGAGCGCCCTCAAGATGAACTGCTCCATAATCTTCCCCGGCACCGAGGTCAGGCTGACAGGCCTGTAGTTCCCCGGATCCTCCCTCCGGCCCTTCTTGTAGATGGGCGTCACATTGGCAAGCCTCCAGTCATCCAGGATCTCCCCCGGATATGAAATACTTGTTAAAAATACTTCTGCTCACTGTTATTTAGATTCTGTGAATTTCAGGATTTCCCCTTAAACTGGAGTGTGGCTTCTGAAACTGGTCTCCATTTTGTGCTGTTGGAGACCTTCGGCAGAGCCAAGATGTCCCTGTGAGTACGCGGTATCCAGCACAGCCAGGTAGCTGGGACGTCAGCCTGCGACTGGGACGCTCCGACTCTCTGCTTGGCCTTGGGCAAGTCCCTTACCTGTGTTCCTTGCCTGGCAGGAGAAGCAGAAGGATAAAACCATAAGTAACTGGGAATGCTCAGGTGCTCACAACAGCGCAGAGTTGTAGGTCATCATGAAAAGGACACTTCTGAAATTATTAGCAACTATGGTGCATATGACTCGAATGACAACAAGCTGGAGTAGATAGTGAAGCATTAGAAGGGCTACACAGAAAACAGATTGTAACTGAGCAGCCAAATCCTGTGTACTGGAAGTGAAGGAAATTGTGTCTATCCACAGGGCTTAGCACTGCTACATCTAAATGTTTTAATGACTTGGACCCCAGTATAATTTCAGAAGGATCATGGGGATCGTTAGCTTTTTTCCTAACCACAGAGTTTCCATCTCCATAAGGAAGGCTTCTAGTCAGTGGGTAGCAATGGCACTGACATCCAAGACAAAAACACAAATTGAATCAGCTCAGAATTTAACTGAATGAATTTTCTGTCCACGATGACTAAACTCTCATGCCCAGCTCTTTAAAGCTTGAAAGGGATTTCTGTCTTTTCCCCTTCTGGCAAAGATCTTCTGCACTGTCACCAGAGCAGGGACCTATGGCGAGCCTTCACATTTAAACAACGTTGCTGAAAATACTATCTGTGGAAAACAGGTTTATGCTTCAGCAAGAGGCTTTCGCGCATGCTGGTAATGCTCCACAGCCAACTCATCTGTTGGAAAGCACGGAGGATGAGAGGTAGAAAATGCTGGGTTTGGACCGAGCTGCAGAAGCAGACAGAAAGCAACCTTCTGCTTGGTTCTTGGAGACCAAGCCTGCACTGTGCAAGGCTGCCATGAGAATGGATTCAATTACGCTGCAAGCTTTATTACTGAAATATTCAGCTGGGAAACCATAAGAAAACATTTTCAAACTTGATTCCCAAAGTTCTGGAAAAGGAGTTTGCAAGTGTTTTATTGCTACCAGTCTCAATACACAATAAGAAAAGCAAATACTGAGTGGGATGGAGGAGCTTGATGCAAAAGCCCCTTCACATCATCAAGCCCTTCTTCCTGGTGCAGTCCACTCATACCAGCCACTCCTGCCTCATTTTATACGTACTGAGTACAGAGCCACTTTCGTTCGAGATCAGTCCTTGCTACATTGGCGGGGGCTTCTCCCTTGTGAAATCTTCTCCCATTACTTCTGTTTACTTGCCTCCTTTCTTCCTTGTTACATTAAATACTGATAGTCTTCCTCGACATTTATTTGTTATCTTGGGCTGTGCATCAGCGGGGCAGAACATCCAAAGCACTGCTGAGTTACACAGCTAAAGCCTCCCTTTCCAATCAGTGCGCACATGCCCTTACTCGTTCCCACTTGCCATCCGTGGCAGCGTGCTCAGCCGTCCAGCCGGGTGGATGAAATTTAGATGCTGAAGCCTCAGATTCATTCCTGATGACATCTGTGTTGTCTGCTTGCATATGTTCAAAATTAATGTTTAGGCTCTATTTTGTAATGAGTTCTAAATCTTCCTTTTAGCTGTCATGTAGTTTCCTTGTTCACTAATTATGCTCGCTCTCGGAAGAAGCCTACGTGCTGTGCGCAGTTCAGCTGGGATGGATGGAAAATGTTATTGTTAGAGCAGATTGCTTCTAAAGGCCATCTCTCAAGTGAAGCCAAGCAGATGTGTCTTCGAATACTGCAGAGGACCCATGGCCACCTTCAGTCCGGCAGTATTTTGCTCAGCTTGTGTTCTGTCAAACGCCTCTTCCCAAAAGAAATGCTGGAAAAATGGAAGAAAATTAAGGAGTGGGATTTTTTGCCGAATCCCACCAGCGGGTACAGGGGCGGATGGTGTGTATCTGTGATGTACTAAAACTTCAGGGCTGCTTCTTACTGGGGGGACCCTTCCAGGACTCCGATGGAGTCCAGCTCTCCCCCTCCGGCCGGCCGTGCCACCAGGAGTCACTCTCGGCCTCCGAACGGGGCCGCGGAGCCCCACGCGAGTCCGCGCCGCTGGCAGGCCGGGCTGCGGGGCTGCTGTGAAGGCGCTAATGCGAAAAGGAGAGCAATGCCTGCCACCGAGCCTTGAATTCCCCATCATTTCACACCTGGTCGCTGCCTGGACTCGCTTCTTTTTATTATTTTTTGCTCCTCCCCCTCGCTCTTTCTGGGCGATGTTTAACCCCGGGGATGCCCCAGGGCGGCGGCGGCCGGGGCTCTTTCCTCCCCCTTACCTCGCACCGACACCTCC